GGCAGTTGATGCCGTTGATCTCCTCGCGATCGTACCCCGTCATATCCACAAAATCATCGCTAACAAAAACTGTTCCACGAGAGAGTGCATCAAGGGGGGGGGCGAGAAGAAACAGACAAGACACACACAAACAAGAGACGGCGTGTAAGAGAGAAGGTTCTGACCCGCAAGCGGCAAAAACCGTCAGAGAGGACAAAAAAAGCAAGAAAAAAGACGGCAAAAGAAAAAAAAAAACGACAAGGGCTCTGATCGCACACAGCGAACATCTTTTGTGACGGCGGCATCTCCAACCCAACAAACAAATCTGCAAGCCGTGGTACAACAACATCGGCACGTGGGTGGCGCACACCCTTTCTTCGCTATAAAATTACAAGCGAAAACCAACACCACTTGCTACGCACGGCGCCTTGTCGGCGTCGCCGTCCTTTTGACATCAGCTTAAAATGTTGCATGTGTGGGCAAGCCATTCTCGCGGTCGTGCTTTGGAATCTGGACAGGCAACCCGTTTCCTTATCATTATCGCCGTACAACAACATGCCATCATGACATCTACCAAGTCCATTTCCGTCTTCGACAAGAAAGTAAAAAAAACATGGCGAAAACACGAATTTGATGTGTTTTCATAACACTTACTGATGGGGTTGTCGTAAAGATCTGGGTCCGTGATGCAGAACATCTCCCTTCTGTCTTGCAAAGCGTGGATGAGTCCCGCATCTGCCTCGCAGAGGGTCTTGTACGGCGTGAACAGGCTCCATACCGAGGAAGGTTTGAGGCACGTCCATGCGCGTCGGAATCGGTACGGCTGCGGAGCCCCCAACAGCACCAACGGGAGTAAGGTCGATCCATCCATCCGTTGTTCAGCCGGCGTCGCGGTGGTCATGCAGGGGGGGGGGGGGTCGACACAAAACCCGGAAGTGACAAAAGAGAGAGCGCGTGCAAGTCAGAACATTGCAGAGGGTGGTGGCCAAGACATGTGGTCTGCAAATGACATGGGAGGGGGTAGAAAACGCGCGATGCTCTCCAACAACCCGGAGGCCCAACACATATGACCAAACGGCGCGTCACTATTCCTCCAAGGGTCACTGGGTAGCAGTTAAAAACCACAAAAATAGCGTTGAGTGGAGGAGAGCACAACAGGCTCGTGCCAACCTGTTGTTGACCACAACAGACGGACTACGGGTTCCAAATCTAGGGTCCCTCCGATACCCAGCCCCCATCCCACTAACTACCTTCAGCTTGGAATCTCTTTATGGCGGGCAACAGCCGCTAATGGCCCCACGTGGACGAAATCTCAGACAGAATCTACAAGCCATCCCCGTGCGCAAAAAAGGCACATGACCCCTCCTCGGACTCCGACTTAACCAATCAACGTGGAAAACACTGAGCTCGAGGACCAGCAGGCGACCGCAATGCACGAGGGCTCATCCGACTCAAAAGAGAATTTATCTATTTATTTAGTTCATGATTCAGAGGAATCCACACATGTACACTGCTGTGCCCCCCCCCTCCCTTACAACGGTAGAAAAAGCGCATTCCTTGGGGTCTTGACGATTCGGCATGTGACCCTGCTGTTTATGGCCGTCCTTGCAGGAATTGCCGTTGGGGTCAAACGTCTGGGCCTACTACTTGGTGCGGTCTTCGATAGGATAGACTTGCCAGAGCATGGTCCAGCGTGGTGGTACAAGACAGGCCGAATAACGCCAAGGGCATGCAAGATACGCAGCAGTCGCAGACGTTTGATCCCAAGAGGGTCCCAGACCGAATCACTACCCCCTCAACAATGCGCCTTTGGCGCATTCCTGAGGGTCACCTTACGTAAATAAACGACCTCTCTCTGGAGCCAGATGAGGCCTGACGCATTTCGATGGCCGACTATTGTCCTCCACGAAATTTCAACCTCGGTGCCGTATGCTACCTTCCGAGCTCGAAGAGGGGGCCTTCGCAAAGGGTAAGCGCTACACAGCCCTGTCCCATAAAAAGAGTAGCGTTCCTCCGCTAACGCTACCTGTCTAGATCTGTACATCGGATCGAGATCGATTTTTGGGCTGTACGTACAAAATAAAGCTATGGTACGCATAGTATCCAAGGGTGTTGTGTGGCGTCT